CTGTTAGAACGGAAACCGTGATTTGCCCACATCCCTATGTTTATTTAGAACGAAAACACAGCGACTGATGAATCAAAATTTCTTTGAAATTTTATTTTGAATTACTCAAAATATTTCCCTTGTTACAAATGAATCCGACTGGCGTGCTGTATTCTTTGCCTTGTTGAAAATCGACAGTCGTAACATATCAGTTAGTGGTACTTGCGAGAAAGTAAGAAACCTCTCGGATGACTTATGAAAGGTGGAACAAATATTTACTAAACAGACGGCGGATACTAACTTGAGGCGCATAGCTTAGGATCGAAAGGCCTAGGATAGTAGCATCTTCAGGCGCATGGGAGCGTTCTAGCAAAATCATTAATATTGGATCCTGACGCCGATCGCCCAGGTGATTCAGTCGAATTTAGATTCGAAAGTACTCGAAGAACTGCTTCATTTCGTTTCATTTATTCATTAGTTAAACAGTACACATACATACTTTTCATACAAGTCGTGTGTTTGAGTGCAGAAAAACAAGAGAAAATGCAAATTATAAAAACGCAATGCAAGATTAAAGAACTAAAATACATCAGTTTTGAAGAGGTGACCTTCAAGTTAGTGACAGTCCAACTGGGTAAATATTCATTTTTATCTGACAAAGTACATCATTTAAATCACATGGTTCTGTTTAAAAAGGGAACAACTTTTTCAGGCGTGAAATGCTTTATGGTAACCGGAGATCATCCGTCGACGGCGGCAGCAGTTGCGAGTCATTTTGGACTAATCGCGCAACGAACATCTATTGTTTCGTTGGTAAAGACGCTTTTTGCTTAACTTTTCTTTCATTCTTTTATAGTGACAGTGGGTACTAATTGCAAGTATGTAGTCTAAAATAGAAAGTCCTAGAGTTGCTGTACCTTGCATCGGAGCATCCCAGTGGCACCATTAACATGGAATACCCAACGCATTCGGACTATTTTGGTTTTCTTCGTATTTCTAGTGGCATATTCGATCCAAGCGAAAGCCAAAAGCTTTGATTTTGCGCTCCTAGTGCAATATGTGGTTCTCTCTGCTGTAGTTCATACGATTTTTACGATCAGTTATTTCATCTTTTAGTTGATCCTTTCGGATCATGCTCGGTAGGCTTGTCGCTTGCAGGGCCGTGGCACAAATTTAACAAATTTTTTCAACAAAAAACAGGCTAAATAACATCACTTGGGTTATTTTTGCATTTTTATATTTCTGCCTTAGCTGAAAAATCAGTCAAGTATGAGAAATGCAACGAATAATCTATGATATTATTAGACTAACGGCACTGGACTTTTTGTTTTTCAAATTTTGAAGAAATTATTGATTTCTATTCCCCATCTTTACCGGCATGCCACCGGGAAAACTCAAATAATTATCTATATTTCTTGTTTGTTACTTCAGTTATTAATTTTGCGCACCTATAGTTGCTTTTTAAGGAGCGAGTCTTACTTGTGTTTTTGAGCCTCAGAACTTATAAATTAACGAGGAAAGTTCGGGAATGTAATTTAAAACTAAAAATGAAATTAGGCATGAAATGACGTACTGCCAGAGCTCCTTTTTCAGAATATGGAAGTGGAAAAAGAGCGTGATCAGTTATCAGTAATTCACTGCGAGAAGCTGAATACCCTGAGCGATCAAGAATGGGATGATATCCTGAAACAAAAAGCTGTTGTGTTTGCGCGTGCTACACCTTCTCATAAGCTGATCATTGTCAAGGTTACGCTCAAATTTGATAATAAATATTGCTGAAGGCCGCTGCCTATCAAGCATGTTTGTGCGTCTTTGCATGTCACTAGCTAATACTTTTGCGCATATCACTCTGGATGATTAAGCCCCGGAAGTACGAAAGATTGCAAGTTGTGTGAGTGTTGAATGACGAGCGATAAACGGCTAATATCTTTTTGGACGTGCACTTAAACAATTTGTCCAGTTCCTTATCCTAAAACTATTACAGTCTGTGTTTTTCATCGCTCGGGCTAAAAATGTGATAAGGGCCTGTTTTTTGATTGCATTTACAAATTAGGGATGAAACAAAGACTGTTTCTTAAAATGTCTCCGCTGCAAATGATATTAGATTAATCCCTTATCTTATCCCCCTAATATTTCATATTTTAATCCCGGAGATGAGCAGTCTCTGATTATAATTCTCGATGGCCCAGTTCTCAACACAAATGCAAGCCGAAACTATATGACTTTCAAACCTCTGCATTCTAAACTGTGTTTGCGAAACTTATTTTGACTTATATGAAATGACTGAACTGTTCTCTGCATGTACAGTGAAATTTACTGCCATTGTGAGTCGAAAAGTGCCAATTGCAAAAATGCATAGCTTTTAGGCTTTTTGTGCACACCGCTGCTCATCTACATGCTGGCTTTATCTTTACCTGCTTATAAGGCAAAAGTTCTGCTGCCTAGAAAAAAAAAGCATGCTCACCTAGACATCCCTCATAACTTGTCGCTCGCTTACTCAAGTTCATGCCGCTGGCACCTTACGATTCATGCGGAAGGAAAAGTCAGTGGTACTGCATTAAGTAGTGTATCGAAATATACTGTCATAAGTGGCATGCCGTACCAGCGAAGTAAGAAAGAGTCATGGCTCGAAATTTTAGAAAATTCGTGAGCTAGATGATGTAACAAAATAACTGATAGGTTTCAAACATTTCAATTTCTGAGGGACGAGTGAGGGAATGGGGCTGGATCGAAAAGCCAGAATTACACCGAGTGAAAAACTCAAGATAATGCACTAACTCATGTTTGAACCTTAGTGTTGCAGTAGTAGGAAGAGAAAAAGTTTAATAACATACTTTCCGATGTCTGTTTATTCACACCTGTGTGTTCACATTTTTTACCATTTTTTAGCTTAAATCGTGATAATTGTTTTTATTAGCTCTAATCAGCTTAAATCGTGGTAATTATTTGCGAGTCAAAATTTATCTCTAGGAATGTCGGCGTCGAGGCGAAGTGGTAGCGGTGACTGGGGACGGAGTCCTGGATGCGCCAGCACTCAAGGAAGCCGACGTTGGAATCGCTATGGAAGCAGTTGGTAAACACGCGTTTTTGCGTTATTCGTTTTCGCAAAGAACGTAAAAAAAGGGCAGATCGACAGATTGATAAAGAAAGGTTGAAATGACCAAAATGGATGATTTGCATAGCTTAGATGAGATAGTTTGGCCGTGTGCGAAGGAGATTGGCGAACAGCTGCATTCGGCACCACGTTCTTATTTTGAATAGTATCGTGTCGGATTTTTTAACGAAAAAATTTTAATGGAACTTCAATAAATCTCCTTAAAATTTGATAAGCTTTTGTAAAAACTTTAATTGCTGAATTCACTACTGCTTCAACAAAAATCCTGTTCAACTTCCTTCAATGTATTTTAAGCATGAGAACTCATTCTTGAAAGGCAGAGGC